TATATTGTTAACTCTTATGTACCTATTTTTATAGATACAGGAATTTTCCAGTGGTGGAAGCAAGTTGGTCAATGTTGCATAATGAAAGGCCTTACTTATGCAATTTCTTAGGAACCGTTTATGAAAATTCCTCCAGACAAGCACTAATGAACATTTTGAAACAAGATGGGAATGATAAGCTTTGTTGGGTTTCAGCAAGAGAACAGTAAGTTCTGTGTTTACTTGATCCATCCATTTTCTTCTGCAGTCTGAGAGTCGCTTGTGAGGCAGTACAGGTTTCCAAAGAGACATTGTTAACACCATTACTACCTGCCTTTCCTCCGAAGATATACTGGTAATTAAAGAAACTGGATTGTATAAACTTTAATAGGAAGAATCTCCTATAGCTGTAGTCCATCTTGAAGAGAAACAATAGCAACTCTCCTATGCAAATATCAGGTGCTCAGTCTTCCTCAGTAATGTTCGTTATTTAGACTTGATAAACAGGACGTTTTGAATGCCAGTCGGGTCTTAGGTTCCTCCCTGAGATGGTCAGCAGACCAGTTGAGTATTCCAAGACTAGCACGAAGTATTCCTCACACCTTCAGGAACCTGACGCCCCAGAAGACAGGGGCCACGAATTATATTCTTTGCCCAGATCTAGCATAAGACCTTGCATAAGTAGGCCTTGGATAAATGGGGGATAGATGGTTGGATGGGTCGGGGGATGGATGGACTTAATAGGGTTAAGTTTCTTCCATCTTTAACAAAATAATCGTGAAGCAAGTGCTCACGAGTGAAAGAAGAAAGTTTGGAATCATTTAGTTTGTTCTTAAATAAACAGAGTTTCGTGTATATAAAGCAATCATCAGAGAAGTAATGCCTACAAAATGTCCTTCTAGATCTAAAACTGTATTAATTGTAGCAGAAACTCCTTTGGAAAGCACAACTCACAACTCTATTGTTAGTGTAATCTTATAGTATCTATTCAATTGACAAATATTTACCAAACAACTGCTATATGCCAGAAATTATTTTAGCCATGAGGGATACAGCAGTGAACAAAACAGTCAGAAGTCCATGCCCTCTTGAAACTTAAATGTTTGCTGGAGGGGACAAAGCAGTAACATATATTGTGTTTCAGAAGATGGTAAATGCCATGTAAAACAGTATGGAGCAGAGGAGGGATATAGAGAGAGGAAGGTACTGGAAGTTGTGCATTTGCCGTGGTAGATCCGTGAAGGAAAGCTCTAGTATGAAGGTCATATTTGGGCACCAGCCTGAAATAAGTGCAGCGGTGAGCCTTGTGTGTGTTTGAATATAGAGTCATCCAGGTGCCCGGAACAGAGTGAGCGAGGCAGTGTAAATGGCAAAGTTCATGTAATGGGGATAGAATTATTCCTGTAACTCTCTCATACCTTTGCACTTGGAGGTGGGGTAGGTGTCCTTGCTTCTCAGTGCTGCTTCCAGACCATTTGCCTTTTTTCCTCCCTAAAACCTCCCATTTTGAATCTTACATGATCAGATAAAACCACCCATTACTCTTCTTCTTTCAAGTTTTTTACTGACCCTTGCTTTTATCCCCTTTGTCCTTGGAAGAGTTGATTTCCTAATATACTTGCACTCTCTCCAACGTCTCCAGCCTAATTCTTGGTGATTCCCAACTCTACGTACGTGGTCCTTCCATGGCCCTGGTCTGGCAGTTCCCTTGCCTCTGGCTGTGATCTGGGTCTTCATTTGACCTTGGCCATTCACTATCATGGTCATTGCCTAGACCTTATCATTACTCATACTGCATCTTCTCCATGACCTCAAGTGCCAGCAGAGCTCTCTGTAACACCATTTCCTGATGTTCCAGCTCATTCCCTGTAATAATCTGACTCCTTAATTGCCTAGTCTAGCAAACCCTAACTGGTTAAATCCAGCTCATTTATACTTGCTCCGTACCTGCAGTCATGCAGCCAGACAGCTTAGAGGAAGGTGCCCATTGATCTCACTGGGAAGTGGAATGTACTTGCAGTCATGATTGATTATGAAATTTAAGTGGGGTAAAGAAGAAAGTAAAGGTGAGGTGAGTGAAGGACCATGAAAGGGCAGTGACAACAATGGATCATAAATCCCAGCTAAACTGCTGGTGTCAGATTATTACAGCAGGTGCCCAGAAGTCACACCTCCCTTGTCACTGTACTCTCCCCTCTCCTGGAAGACTGTTTTCTGCTTTCTTCTCTCTTTCCAACCACTCTTTCCTTGTGACATTACTGCTTACTTCACTGAGAAAACAGGAGTGGTCAGGAGAGAGTGTCTTGCTACTGTTCCCTCCACTCCTAGTCTTGCCCCTGTACAGTCTGTTCTCAACACAGCAGCCAGATTAATTCTGATAAAACAGATCAGGTCCATCACCTGATCGAAATCCTGCATGATGGGATGCTATGACTTCACTGTCTGCATCTCTCCCTCACAGTTACTCTGCTTCAACTACCCTAGCTTCCTTGCTGTTCCATGAACATGCCAGGCACACGCTGTCCCCTGGCCTCTGTNACACTCTGTTCTCCCCCCCTCCCTCCATCTCCTTGCTCAGAAGTCCTTGCATGGGACATTCCCTGATTACCCATTTACAGTTACAACACTGTCCACTCAGAAACTCCCTCCTACTTCTCTGCTTTATTTTTACTCACAGCACTTAACTCCTAAATAGTTTACTGACTGGACTTGCTTACTACCCATCTCTACCACTAGAACTAGAATATGAGCTCCATAAGGGCAGGAATTTGGGGGCTGAAGTAGAGAAAGAAGACCTGGCACTTAGAGAATATTTTCTGAATTAACAGTCATGGAGAAATTTTATGGAGGTCACTAGATGTAAAAAATGTGTAGCTGTAAACTTTTCAAATTCTTAAATATTTTCAAGAAATCTATTTACAAGATTTTACACCTCTTCTACCTGTTGTTCTATGACGTGTTAGCCATTTCCTTAACTAACATTAGAAGACAAAATCTTTTCTTACACAAAAGATATGCTTAGTAAAGTGAAAACTACAGTTGTTGTTGGTTGTTTTTTATCTTCTAGGTGGCAGCCTCAGGAAACAAATGAAAGCCTTAAGAATTATCAACATGCTTTGCTACAGAGTGATCCCACATTGTGCCCAGTGGGAGTAAGCACAGGATGTTATAGGATATACGAGGCCTGCTCCCATGGCTCAGTTCCTGTGGTAGAAGGTGTAATGCCAGCTGCCAGCTGTGGAAATGCATCTGGTTACCATATTGCTCCTCTGCAGTTACTCAAGTCCACGGACGTGCCCTTTATCTTTATTAAGAACTGGAAGGAACTTCCTGCTGTTCTAGAAAAAGAGAAAACTATAATTTTACAAGAAAAGATTCAAAGAAGAAAAATGTTACTTCACCGGTACCAACAATTCAAAACATAGCTAAAAATGAGATTTACTAATATTTTAGAAAGTTCATTTTTAATCACTTATAAAGGTTAAATATTAGTCATCTTTTCAAGCTAAGCTCTCATTTTTTAAATCATTTCAAATACTGGGTGTGTATATGTGTTGTTAGGTAATTATTAAACTTAAATTCTTTAAGTTACCCTTGGGGGGCCTGTTATGTCTGTAGCATTAATAACCAAGTTCTTCCTTATTGGACCACTCCTGAAAATGGAGCTAAAATGTTACTCAAATTCACTTTTACAAAGTTGAAGGATTCAACATTTATCAACTCTTCTTACCCATTTAAACCCACTCTAGGGAAGCAGCATTATGTAGTAGAAAATACTGGACTTTGGAGTCAGACAAAACCTGGGTTAAAGCCACGCCTCTGCACCTACTATCTGAGGACCTTGAGAAGCCACCTAATTGTGCTGAGTCGTGATTTCTTTCCATGTAAAGTGGAGATAATGGTACCTCATATGGCAGGTAAGTTGTAAATACGAAATGAAAGAATATATAAAGCAGCTAGTATGCATAGTAAACTCCTAAGTAAATTCTTATTTATTTAGGAATGTATAAAATATATATAAATTTCTAATTTGTTTTTCGTTCCTTACTACTTAATAGTAGGGCTAAGTTTAAATATTTTAACCCATGTCATTTATATAATTTGGAGAGACCAT